TGAAGGGAGACCCACTGGATGAGTAGGAGTCAGTATTAGGTTTCCACACTCATGGGAATCAGAGACAAAATTTAAACCAGTTGCCTTTTCCTTTTCCTTTTCTCATTTACCTGTTTGTGTTTATTTGTGTAGCTAGCATATACAGATATTATTATTCTTGAAACTTTTTAAATTCCTTGTTTTCTTCTCTCGCAGGTAATGGTTGGGGATTTGAGCTCTACAACACTTCGATGCTCTGCCCTCCCTTAAATGCATGGCCGAAAGGAAGCTAATGATAATTCTTATTCTACATGACTGGGAATGTTCATTTCTGCAAAGCATTGAAAGATCCACAATTTTTAATTTTGGACTGTCTGATGCGAGGCACTGTTTTGAGCATTCTAAACACATGATCACCTTTCATGTTTGTACACCTAGGTATGATACTACTGTTTTCCCATTTTGCAGGTTATAAAACTACAGTACAGAGAAATGAAGCAGTCTGTCCACAAACTAGCGATTTACTGAACCTGGAATTTGCTACCAGAACACTCGGAGGCTGACATCTGCATAGTTAATTTCATTCATTACATGCCTCTTTAGTTTAATCAGCTTTCGCTTTCCTGAAGCCCAGGGAAAGGAAATTGAGTTGCCTAATATAGCAGAAAATATAGCAGAACTTTTGAGAGTGGTGTCCTCATATCACCAGTATCCAGTATGGAGAGAAAAAAATATAAAATTTTAAATGAAAATTCCATTTCTCTTCTTCCCCCTCCCCACCTCTTCATCCCTTCCACCCCTTCTCTCTAGCTCATCCAGGTAAATAAATAATAGAGATAATAGATAGGTATTTAGTTTGGATATATTTATCATTTGAAAATATCTATACATAGTTTTAATAGTGTCTTATATGAATGTACAGTTTTTAATTAATTATGGTCAAATTGATTTTTTCACCTTTATAGTTAGATATTTGGCTCCAATGCTTTCTAGCTGTGTGACTTTTGGTAAAGGGCATTACTGTCTCTACTCAGCATCTTTCCTTCTGAAATTAGAGTTGATTTTGTCATATGTCCATTATGTTGGCTGGTGGTTGATAGAATGTATATCAATGGTGGCCTTAGTGGTCAGCAGACAGTAGATATGAATAAACAACAAATTAAGTCATTAACACAAAGACCCATCAACAGGGCCTTTGAAAGAAAAAAGATGACATACAAGGGCCATCTGGGGTACTTGTGTGGATGGAGGGAGCTGAAGAAGAGAAGGTGTAACATCTTTCTTTTTTATTTTAATCAGATGCTCTGTACTTTTTCTCAAAGCTTTCTAATTGTATAAGCTCTAACAATGTGAGACTCTGGTTATGAACAGATTTCCTTCAAGTTAAGTAGGCTAAAGATGACTGATCATCTGTAAAATCTGTTTGTTCGCCAGCCCCAATACCATTTATCTACAGTCCTCTTCCAAAATGTGTCTCTTCCCATCTTTGTGACTCAGGTCTACTCTCCCATAATAGAACCTGAGTGCCTCAAAGACACACTCAATGTAATCATTCATCCCGCATTGCCCTTAGCACCAGGGCTATGCTTTTACATGGATGCTTTAATAGATAAATACAGGCTAAATGAATACAGAGCCATCTCCTCTTGCCAACTTTACTTCCTCAACTCTGCCTTTGGCTTAGAGTCACCACCACCAACTCTTTTCTCCAGTTTTCTTTGCCTCCAGCTCATCATGACTTTGTTCACAGATTATGTATCCAGGTCTCCTGGCATTTGGCTGATTGCAACTTGAGATTCGTATCAACTTTCCTTTTGGTTTAGACTTTGCTACCAATCTAAGGCCTCAGACATGCCACTGCCCTCTCTGGACCACATTTTTTCCATGAGCAAAAGAAGGCAGCAGGGTCATTGGTTTTCAAGACCCTTAATGATCTAAATCCATTTCTACCCTCATTCCAGAAGTAAGTAAACTCTGAAATAAGTTGTCAGATGGAGAGTTTTCTTGTGAACAGGTGATGCTGAGAGACTGTTAGGAGTTGTCTGGACCTTGCCTGGCTCTGGTATCCACAGCTATAGCCCCGACAACACAGCATCAGCTGGGTGCTGTTTGGTGCCAAATTCCCTCTTCTCTTTCCTTCTAAAACATGAAACCCTACTTTCAGGTACATTTTAAGGCGTGAAATTCAAATGCTATGTAGACACTACTTTCTATGGAAAACAGAAGTTTGGAAATGTTTTCCAGACTATATTCATTCTATTCTTAACTTCATCTGACATTAACTTCAACACAGAAAACAATGATGTAGCTAGGAGAAAAATAATCTCTGATTCTCGGGAGTTCTGTGATAGTTTAAATAATGCATTTAACATTCCTTTGCTGCATCAGTCTTTATGTTAACGGAGATAATGACACTTTGCTTTGTTTCCAAGAACACACTTAGCTTATGTGGGAGCACTAGCTGGGAAGGTCCTGACTTGGTAATAAGTCACTGAAGGTACTAGGACAAACCACTTAACTTTTCCAAACCTTCTTAGGATGATGTATCCCACCTAACTCATGGGATTCTTGCAAGGACTACAGAACTGTAGCTTAGTTTCTGGCCCTTAGGAGGTGTTCAACAAATGGTATAGTCATAGTTAATGATTTCAGTTAATGCCCAGCTTAAAGGTCTATATTTTTGTTTTGTTAAGTCTTAGATGCAGAGCAAGATGATGGTTGCTACAGAAAACCTGTTGGAGGACATGTGGTGTGCCCAGTCCATCCTTATTCTGAAGTCCAGAAGAAGATGGGCAGTAAACATATCCAGCTGGGCCCTAACTGCTCTGTGACCTGAAAATCATTTCCTATTCTCTTGACCTTTCTTTTTATTGCCTATAATTTAAGGAGTTTAATTAAGTGATAATCAATGTTTCTTCGGGCTTTACAATGTCAGGGGTGAGAGACAGAGCTTTTCGTTTGTTTCTGGGAGCAGTAGTCAGTCAGAAGGGATTTGATGGTTTCAAAATTCAAACACATTGTCCCTGTGCCCGGGAGGCAAAATTCAGGTGCTTAGTTAAATCCATTGTACAGTGGGGAACCTTCATTTCAAGGATGCCAGCAGCAATGCCTTATTTGTAATTTTAGTACCTCATGTATTTCTTGGCGAGTGTATTCGCCAACCCTCAGAAATATTTATGCCATTATTTGTTCTACTCAAAGACCAAAATACTTAGCCTCTCAGAATTACATGTATATGTTGTGGTTTTTTTTTGCACGAAGTCTTGATAAACAACAGGGTATGCTAATAATGATCATTATGAGGATGCTTTTATGATAAAAGTACATCTATGCCAAATTCTCTAGGCACCTAAGAACGCCAAACTGAATATATTGCCTAATAAAAGGGCAGCCCAGCTCTATAAATCTCAAGCATAGTGAAGAAAAATTCTCCATAACCACCACCAACTGCATAATAAATAAAGCAACTATTCACCCATGTAAAACAAAGGAAATAAAGAGCTTTAGAAATCATGAGAACTTTGTATCCAAGGACTTTAGAGCAGAAGCTAAAAACCTAGAAAGCTATGACATGCTGAAATGGTCTACTAGGCACTCACAAGTTATACCAACCTTTCCTTAGGTCAAGTTTATTGCAGCTGAATTAGACTAGAATATGTGTGCTGGAGTAACATACACACTCCCAAAGTTTCTGTAGCTTCACCTGTCAGATTTAACTTCATTCTTATGCTCAGTGCAATGCAGGTCGGAGGTTTGCAATGCTCACCCACATCAATTTGGAGAGAGATCCACGCTGTAGCTTGGCTACTTTTCTCTTAGCAACGTTGACACTTTGGTGCTTTTCATTTTCATCAAACAAAGAGATAAGGGAACTTAAAAGACTCACATCTTTTCCCAACTACCTTGAACTAATAACGACATATGCCAATTCTGCTCATAGCCTACTGCCCAGAACTAGCCACACAGCCCTAACTTTACCCGAGAGAGGCTGAAGTAAGGGAAGTTGCACAGTGAGCACTGCTGTTTCACTGCTTTGCTACAGCGGATCTCTTTTAGGCTGGATCGTGAGTCTCTCTCTCATTTTGCCTCATAACCTTGTAAAGCTTGAACACAAAACTGTATTTCAAGTGGTAGGATTGTGTCAAAGATCAAGTGGAATAATGACCACGAAATAATGGGCCTTCCTCAAAGCAGAGTCCAAAGGTGAGTTTATATATATCATGAAAAATGTGCATCCTGGCGCCATGGTATCTTTGTTCAAATTCTGACAGCAACACTTATTTAAGCTACTTTTTATCAAGCTGCATACTCTTTTTAAAGTTTCATATGTCCCATTATTTAAATGGAATAACATATATTTGCTCTAAATCTATGAGATGTGAATTATGAGGTTTTCTTTTAGATGCAGAAAAAGAAGTACGGTCAAAATCATCATGTCTTTTGTAAGTGTAACATATTGATAGATCAAGTTGAAGGTTTTAGGTCCCTATAAACCCTCTTGAAGTCAGGTAGGATGTTTTCAGCGTTAAATAACAGACGGGCCAACTTAATACAGATTTAAACAATGAGGACACCCATTATCTTTCCCAATGGCAAGTGCAGAGGAAGGTTAACATATCAGACTTTGCTAACTGGAGTCTGTGTCATGTCTCCACATTGAGGTCCTTCATGCTAACTTCATCCTTAGTCCATTAACAAGGGAACTATGGCAGTTCCAGGTGACATACCCAGTTAAAACAGTAAGAGCAAGAAAAATGGTCATTACTATTCTTTGGTTATCTTTCTTCCACCTGAAGAAAGATTTACATAAATTCTACCCTTTCGCCACTTTCTTGTAAAAATCACCTCAAAGCTTATTGCTAGAATTTGGGTCATATGACTATTCTTAAATGAATCCTTGGCAAAGGGAATGGGGTTTCCATAACTGGCTTGGACTCATCATGTCACATGGAATTTAGGATGGTAAGAAATCAACCAGAATAACACCTAGGTTTACCTTGGTTTTCAATTCCTGGAGCAGCATGGCCTTCTTAATGGAATGTTTCCTTATTCTGATAGCATTTGAACTGGGATTCTCTTGGGATCTAAAGAAGAATGTCAGCCCTGCTATTGCTCTCATGGGATTCAGACCTGTCACCAGGGTGAGAATCTCAGGTAGACCAAGACTGGGCTAGCCACCTGGGCTTGTGAAAAAACTAGCACATTTAAGATTTAGATTAAAATCTTGACTCAGCCACTAGTGCCATGAACACTGCAAGATTTTTACATCTCTTTTGTCTCATTTTCTCTCTTTGAAACAGGATATTAAAAGCTAACTCATGAGTTTTTGAGATGATTAAATTAAATAAGGCAGAATTTTGGCACACGGTAGGCACTCAATAAGAGTTATCACTGGCAATAGTATTAGCATTAGTATGAGTATGATGAAAAATTAGAAGAGGGACAGCCATTCTCAGTATCTTATCCTCTATCTTTTGTCTCCCGCTCATGTTGGGTGTGTATTACCTTATTTCCTTTCCAACAAACCCTATGCCAATATGGATAATTCTCATGTTTTTATGCAAATGTGGCTTAAAATATGTTTATCCTCAATTTTCAAAAACAGGCATTTTTAGGTAAATTGGGGTAAGGCTGTATGATGGAAAGTTAATCAGCCATTAAAAATTATGTTGGTGTAGCATTTTTAATAATATGAAGAATGAATTACATTACAATATTTAAAATGTAATTTAAAAAATATATATGTAATATGATCTCAACTATGCAAAGGAAAATATTCAGAGGGAAAAACTTGAAGGAAAAAGCACCAAATTTAAGAAACTTTGGCTCTCATTGGACATATTCTGCATGATATTTTTGCTCTTTAATTTTATATTACCCAAGCTTTCTTTTTTGAGCCTATATTATTTATGTATTTAAATAAAACCATATTGAATATAGAGTTACTATAGATGCATAGATAGATTTAGATATGTAGATATCATTTATTGAGCTCTTACCACACATACTTGGTCTTGTGTTAAACTCATTATATAGGCATTGCCTCATAAATTCTCTGCCAGAATCTCAGGGAGTAAGTATAATTATTTCCGTCATTAATTCCATATGATGAAATTGGATCTTAGAGGATAAAGTAAATCACCAATATTACCCACTCCTCTAAGGGACCTGGGATTGGAAACCATAGTGGTTAGTCCCCAACACCCATGATTGGACTATTCCAAAAACCTCCCCTTTATAATGCAGAGACTCAAAGATGAATTACTCATTGGGAATATGTGGAGGTAAGTTAAGTACAGAGTCAGGTGATTTTAAAGGTTCCATTCAATGAAGAAAGTTTTTGATTCCATTGAAGAAAAAAATGGGAGGCCTGGTTTGGATTTGTGAGTGTCCAGCAGAAACGAATGTTCAAGTAGGTAAGCAATTCCTGGTTTTTGTAGCAAGAGTATGAGGAGAGCAGTATGGATGTCATGAGAATCAGAAAGTGGCATTTTCATCTTTTGATTATATTGCTACATAGCCACGATAATCATTGGCTACTTCTTTCGGAGACTGTTGTATACTTAACTTCTCAGTCCATAGCTTCCTATTCATACAACCATGGGGTATCAATATACTTGCATTTCAGCTTTTGACACCATGTATGGTAACTAAGGGTGCAAGCTGCTTTTTCTTGGAATGTAAGACATGTGATTTGTTTAAAAGTCAAACCATTAAAAGTATAAATTAAGCTGAAACAGCAAACATGAGACATAGAACTCATAAATTTGTGCTAGGGCATTTTTAGTATGTTGGTGACTCAATGAAGGATCTGTAATGAGCTATGTAGAGGGAAGATGCCTGAGTTAAATTATATAGTCAGAGTTAAACCTAACCACCTGCATTTCTTTTTTTTTGTTTTGTTTTGGATGTGCTGCGATATGATGATCTGGCTGTACAAAGTCTTCCTGTGAATTCAGTTAGGCCTTAACTGTATATGTTGGAAAGAGCAGACTTCCACAAAAATGTCCTGTGCCAGAAATATTTCTGCTAATATATGTGGATTTTTGTCAGTGTCATGTTGAAGTACAAATGTAAGGACCTTGTTTGTTTATAATAGATATATTTAGGTGATAAAAAGTAGACAGAACTCAGAGACTGTAATGTATTCTCTGCAACACATTATTTCTAAATGTCAATCTCAAACCATAGATGCTGCCTGAACTGAAATGTTATCTGGAAGTGACGTTGGATATGACATTGACACACTGAAGTCTCCCAGTCCTGATATGCTGACAGCCGGACTTTGAAGACATTTAGAACTTGGTCACCAGGGAAGTCCTTGCTAAGCATACAATTGATATTATACCAAATATTTATGGTTTCTACCTGCTCTGCACTCAACTCTCTTTCTACTCGTAAAAAACTCAGATTCTGGAGACATTCCCTTCAGTCTTCTGGGTGTGCTGAAGTTTACTGATTTTAGTGCCAAGAGTTGAGTACATAACCAGGTTTTGTCTCCTGAAGCCTCATATTTCTCAAAGCTTGATTCAGGGATAGTGAGAGGGCTCAGACAGGGCCAATCTAGTTGACATTACAAAGCAAAACAAAACAAAATAATTTTTTAAATTTTATTTTAAGGGAATATACAATTCCTTTAACTTAGAGATCAGAGGATATATATGTCTAGCTGCTATGGGACAGGGAAGTAATCAATATGTAAAAATAACTTCTTTTAGAACAAAAACAACACAGAAGCTAACAGAGAGTAAAATGATGAAGAAAAGCCTTATTTCAAATATGTGGACTGAGCCCTTGGATCCAGCCCATCCTGAAATCATAACCACATATGGACTTCTTAATTACATGAGTCAATAGCACCTTTTGTGCTTATTCCAGTTTATGTTATGTTCCTTTCATACAAACATAAGAATATGAATTAGTACCAAGGTGATATATATATATATATAACTATGTTTTATATAATATCTTATATATTATAATCTCAGACAACTTAACACCAGAAAAACAACCCAATTATAAAGTAGTAAGAAGACCTAAATAGATAGTTCTCCAAGGAAGACATAGAGATGACCAATAGACATATGAAAAGTTGCTCAGCATCACTAATCATCAGAGAAATGCACATCAAAACCACAATGAGATCACCTCACATCTGCCAGAATTGCTTTCATCAATAAATCAACAAACAGCAAGTGCTGGTGAGGATGTGGGGAAAATGGACCCTCATGCACTGTTGTGGGGAATGCAGTTTAGTACAACCACTATGGAAAACGGTGTGGAGGTTCCTCAAAAACATTAAAAATGAAACTGCCTTATGACCCAGAGATTCCACTTTTGGGGATATATATGAAGAAACCCTAAACATTAATTTGGAGGAATACATACACCCCCATGTTCATTGCAGAATTACTTACTGTAGCCAAAATATGGAAGCAACCCAAGTACTCATCAATAGATGAGTGGATTGAAAAACAACAACTGTGGTACACGTACATAGTGAAATACTACTTGGCCATAAAAAATGAATGAAATCTTGCCTTTTATGACAGCAAGGGTAGACTTAGAGAAAGTATCATGATAAGTGAAATAAGTCATACAGAGGAAAACAAATACCATATGAGTTCACTTATATCTAAAGAGCAAGGCAAACAAAATAGATACAGATTCATAGCTACAGAGAACAAACCGTACCAGGGGGATGGGTGGTCGGGAGGCTGGGTGAAAAAATGAAGGGATTAAGAAGTACAAATTGATAGTTACAGAATAGTCACAGAGATGTAGGTTACAGAATAGGGAATATAGTCAATAATATCATAATAATTATGCATAGGTCAGGTAGGTGCTTCAAGCAATTGGGGGGTGAAAAGGGGGCCCTCTGTAAAATACATGCTTTTCTAGATGCTATGCTATACATCTGAAACTAACACAGAATGGTTTCTAATGTAGACTGTAATTTGGAAAGAAAATAAAAACGTGTAATAATATATTGTATATATTATAATATATCCTATTATATTATATTATAATAGATTATATATATGTGTATATATACAACCCCTACTTAGATGTGGGCTGGTATGAAAGAGGGTTTTATAATATTTTAAAAAATTAGAATGGTAAATGGCAAAGTAGTGTTGTAACTTGCGCACCAAAACCAAACAAAATATCTTCATAGTGTTTTGTTGTCAAGTGGAACCTTTTGCTTTGGGATTCATAAATGGAGCCAGGATCTCTTGTAACAAATTACAGAAGATACCAAGGTTCAGGCCCTTGGAAGTGGGTGGGTATTTAACTTGATGAGTCAAGAACAGCTGATAACTGCCTTCAGCTGTCAGTGGTTGTGTCATTTATAAAAGAGAAAGTGCTCACAGACAAAAACCTGTGTAATGAACCACTGCACTGAGACAGAAAAGACAGCAATGTGTTCAAGCTTATCAGAGACTTCTGCTAGAAGCATCAAGACACAGTGCGCGCAGATTGATCTGTACCGAGCATGCCCTGCTAAGCTTGGGTAAATTCCAGATTTGTTCCCTCAGAAAGGAGCACCTCACAGCTTCATCACAGATTGTATGTTGCACACTCATGAAGAGGCTGCAAAACCCATTCATCATAATCAAAGCACGCTTAGCTTACCGCCGTGAACATAGTCAGTGTCAAGGAAGGTGTGCTCTTGGTTATCACTGATTCCATTTGTTTCTTTCCTTAAGAAATTGATAGAGAGCATGGCTTTTCTTCTCCCTGAAGAAGTGAGGTGACTTCCTTAATGATAATTACTTGCTTTTTCTTTCAAATGTGCAAAATGAAAATCTGTTTCCTTGTCAGTGAGACAACAGATTAGTTGACCTAGAAGTAAGTATATAGAAGATAAACTCAAATACTTAAAAGGACTAAGTACACATTAGTCAAAACTGGGATGAAGATGATGGCTAGAGGGAAGCTCCATCATTTATTAGGAAACTCTATGTGGCTCTAAGGCAGCGGATCTCAACCTGTGGGTCGCGACCCCTTTGGGGGTCGAATGACCCTTTCACAGGGGTCACCTAAGACCATCGGAAAACACATATATAATTACATATTGTTTTTGTAATTAATCACTATGCTTTAATTATGTTCAATTTGTAACAATGAAACTGGGGGT